ATGGCCATGAGAAAGGAAATGAATGGAGCTGTCCTGTATTACTCTAGGCCAAGAGCAAACTAAACTTTCCCAAATGAGAAGGAAAGCTTGTTCTTAGGATCAACATGCTAAAAGCAAGTAAGTTATCTGACCCAGATAAAATGTCATGATAGAGTCCTTAAAGTGTTTTGCTAAAATTGATGTAGATTGTCAATTTGTATTTTTTAAATTGACATGAAAAAATCAATATTATCTGGCAAATGTAACCTTTTGAAACACATTTTTTTTGTTTGCCTCGTCCTCTAAACCTGTTATAATTCTCTTAAAAATTGCTTCTATTATTTTTACTGAAAGTTCCTTAGCAGATGGCAATTATAAGAATGAAGCTCTTGTTTTTTAAGAACCATTTTGCTAATCTTCAGGTAATTTCCCTCCTCTGTATTGCTGCATAAAAATAGCAAGTTCATGCTTTCTTCTTGGCTACAACATAACTAGTGAATAAAATTCCTAATGCCTGCTTATATGGATCTTTTAAAAATCTCTTTTTAAATCTCATTTTAAATGCAATCAAAAGATGCCTGTATGCTTTTATTATGTGTGTGTATATATATATATCTCAATTCTGTATCTATGCCCAAATTAGTACATACCATCTGTTAAAGTTCTTCTATTCAAAAAGAAATTTTGTTGATGAATATTTCAAGAGCTGAAAGATACCTTGGAAGACAAGTATGTTAGAAGTAAACATTGTGAAAAAAAGAAGAAAAGAGTTTAATTTAATTCATTACATTGTCTGGCAGTAAAATACCATAGGATAACAATGCAAAAAATTACTTTTTTCCTCAAATATTATAAATATTTTGTTCAAATCACTCTTTCTTAAAAACAAAACTGAAGTAGAATGCGAAGAGTAAAAGTTTTTTTAAAACCAGAGAAAGAAACACCAAAAAGAAGAAAAATATTACTATTATTTTGAAACCAGATGAGGGTCTTGAAACATGTTTCTGTAGAGCTGTAAAAAATATTAATACACAGGGAGAAAAATGGTGTCACTGGAAAAATTGGCAGTTTCAAAAAGGCTATGTTTGAAATGACTGAGGAGCATAACATTACTGAAGGAAATTATTTTCACTCCAAAAATGAATTTATTATATTCATATATATGCATATATATTTGGAAGTCACTCTGATGTATATTATTAGTAGAAATATAGAAGTGAGTAAGATTAGACCCCCACTTTAAGATTTTCATTTGGGGGGCACCTAGGTGGCTCAGTCGGTTAAGCATCTGACTTTGGCTCAGGTCATGATCTCATGGTTCATGGGTTTGAGCCCTGCAATGGGCTCTGTGCTGACAGCTCGGAGCCTGGAGCCTGCTTCAGATTCTGTGTCTCCCTCTCTCTCTGGCCCTCCCTCACTCATGCCATGTCTCTCTCTCTCAAAAATAAATAAAATGTTTTTAAAAATTTACAAAAACAAAAGGATTTTAATTTGGGAGGCAGAGCAAAGGCTCCAACTAGCCTGTAGCAGTTAAGTATAACAAAGAACAACACATACAAATTTCCTAAAAAGAAGTACTAGGGAATTAAGAATGAGGAAATTACTCTTAAAAATTATTACCAAAAATGGCATTATGGAAAAGGTGACATCTGATAGTATAACAACATGATCATAATACTAACGTTTATGCACTATTCTTCATTCCAGATATTACTGAAAATGACTTGCAATACTTCATTTAATATGACAACTTCTTATGCTGATGGCTACTTTCAGTGTACTTATTTCATAGAAAAAAAGACTGAGATTTAAGAAAAACATTTCCAAGGTCTCATTGGTAGTAAAGAGTGGAAGAATGGATATTAGAACCCCTTAGGTGCCTTGAAGACCATATGACCCCATTGGGTTTGACTACAATATGTTGAATTCAGAGTGTCCAATCTATTCAAACACACACAGACACACGCACACTGTAAGAATAGCACTTTCACTCCATGGCTATATCTTCATTGTTACAGTTAAGCAGATTTAAAGTAATCATCTGCAGAATTCAGTGGCAAATAATGTCTACACTAGAGAAAAATTGCTTAATTTTCAGATTGGCCATGTTAAGTTGTGTTCACCTTTCTGCAGAAGACATCAAATTCACTTTACTGGGGCATTAGTATATTAAACTGAGAGGATCAAATGTTATTTGGGTAGGTGTCAAAGGTTTCAGATCTGATTCCCATTTGCACAATATCTGTATAAGACCTAAAATATGGCATGAAGGAAAGACGAAAGAAAGTGGGTCATCGAATCTGGTTTAAAAGTGAAATATTTAACATTCACATTAATGGAGGGAAAACTTACACAGACTTTATGGAAACAATACTTTTTTTAATTGTTTATTTATTTACTTTGAGAGTGAGAAAGAGAAGAAAAGGAGTGGGGGAGAGGAGCAGAGAGAGAGAGAGAGAGAGAGAACCCCAATCAGGCTCTGTGCTAGCAGCACAACATGGGGCTTGATCTCACAATGCTGAGGTCATCACCTGAGCCAAAATTAAGCATTGGATGGTTACCTGGCAGGTATCCCTGGAAACAGGGCTTTTAAGATAATGTCTATTTATGCTAAAGTGATGCATATTTTTAACTAAAGATTTGCACATAGAAACTCTTAAGCAGAACTTTAAGCTAAACAGGCCCCTCACTGATTGATGCTAGTTGTATTACAGTATCTTAAAACTTTACTAACATTTTTCAGAGAAAAAAGCATAGAATAGTGGTTAAGAAATATGACTTTGGAGCTACGATTCCTGGGCTCAGAATCCACCTCTGCCACTTACTAGAGGAGACTGGACTTCTCTACCTGCAAAACAAAGATAATAATAGCACCCATATTATAATAAAAAGTCTTAAGTTAAATGAGTTAAAATTAATAATGAAATTACTTGAGATTTCTAAACAAAAAAATTACTGGCACATAGTAAGCGCTATGTGAAATATTTGTTAAATTACAACTAAAATATATTTAAGTGGAAAATCTCATTCACATACATGCACATGAAGCAGTGCTCGATAGGTCAAGACTGAAGCTACCATTAGTCCATTACAGGAGAGGTGAGTGGTGAGGAGAAATGACCACATATTTGGAGTGATCAAATGATTGTGGGTTTTAATGAGAGAAATAGAAGTGATTTGATGTACTTTTTGTTATCTGTACTGAAAAGCATCAATCCGGAAAACAGAAAGACAGTGCCAGATAAATCTCTATACATAATTAGTTGTTCTATTAAACCTAATTCTCACCTCATTACAAAAAGAAACTTGGGAAAAGAAGGCATAATGCTGTTTTGTAAATTTATTTTTTCAACTGGACAGAGATAATGGATGGTCAATAATGTTTCATCAAAAATCTGCCCTGTTTAGTCAGATAAATATTGTGTCTTCTACAAGCAACAAAGCCTTAAGCTAAACAGGTCTTTTTTAAAATGCTTATTTATTTTTGAGAGAGAGAGTCAGAGAGAGAGGGAGACAAAGGATCCAAAGCAGGCTCTGTGCTGTTAGCACAAAGCCCAATGCAGGGCTCAAACTCATGAACTGGGGGATCATGACCTGAGCTGATGCTTAACTGACTAAGCCACCCAGGTGCCCTGAACAGTTCTTTAGAATAATGTGATATAATCTGAATTTTCAGATTCTGAAAGGCCTGGCATCAATGTACATGCAGTATTTTCTCTTAATCTTTTGATCCTTTCTGGCCAAGCCCATGTCCTGTTCACCATATGGTAGCTAGCTTCCTCATAGTACCTACCATATTGCAGGTTGAATGAATTAACAGTTGAATCCATAACACAAAGTCTAGAAAGTAAATTGTGTGTAATTTAGGTTTACCAGACAAACTAAAGGGCATCCAGTGAAATTAGAATTTCAGATAAACAATAATTATTAGTATAAGTATCTTCCAAATATTGCATGGGACATATTTATACTAAAAATTGTTCAATGATTATCTGAAATTATAATCTCACTGGGTGACCAGTATTTTCTTTCATTTACTAAATCTGGTAACTCTAGTCTAGTTATTAAACTAAATTAAGATTTATTCATTTATTCAATTAGTCATTTACCAACAAGTATTTATTGCTTTATTAAATTATTAAAAGATGTACTACAGGCCCACCTTGTGCCAAGAACAATTCTACACCCTGACTCAGCAATAAATAAATAATACCAGCAGACTCTCACTTCATGGAGCATGTATTTCAGTGCAAATGGAAGGAGGAATGATGAAAAATAAATAAGTGAAGTATTAAATTGACAAGGTAATTTCAGTTAATGATCAGTGCCATGAAGAAAATCAAGCAAGATGATGAATGTCAAGAGAGAAGTATGGATTAAGGGCTACCTTAGTAAGAAAGTACAGGAAGTCATCATTAAATGGTGAGGCCACTTGTACAAAGAGCCAGAAGAAGAGCAAAAAATGCAAAGGACCCTAAGTAGAAATGATTTTGACTGTTTCAGGTAAAGTGTGAAAACCAATTAGATTGTAGTGGGCAGGGGCTTGGAGAGTTGTACAAACATTGTACAAGAAGACGTAAGAAACTGAAGCAAGAGCTAGTTCATGCAGAAACTTACATTCCATGATGTGACAGTCAGATGGTATTAGAGTAGAATGGAAAGCACCAGAGTGGTTAAAATAGGGAGTGATATGATTGAAAATATTTTCAAAAGACTCGTTGGTTTGCTGGATGGAAAATGGATAGATGGGGTGTGGAGGGGAAGAGGGAGAGTACAAAACTAAGAGGTCGTCCGAGAGCAAAGATGAGGGACGACACAGGCTCATAGGCTGGTGACAGAGGTAGGTTAATTGGAGATATGTTTTGAAGGCAGAAGCAAAAGCACTCATGAAGGGCTTTGACTCTGAGATCAGAAAAGAGTGGTGAGAGATGATAGCTATTTACTTCCACTTAAAGATGTACTGATCCTATGTATGACCCATGCACAATAATAAATTTCTCTTCTATATCCTTCTTTCTCAGTTGCCTATATTGGCATCATCGGTGGTTAGCCTGTATTTCCTTGAACTCACAGATGTCTTCAAACCTGTGCACTCCGGATTTAGCTGCTATGACCGGAGTCTTAGCATGCCGTATATTGAACCAACCCAGGAGGCAATTCCATTCCTCATGTTGCTTAGCTTGGCTTTCGCTGGACCTGCAATTACGGTAAGAATTGCCCCCCAAATTATGTTTGTCAGTCCCCCAAAGTAAGAATGACCACATTTGTGTAATAAGTGGGTTAAAAAGTGAACTCTAAATCTTGGAACAGAGAGATCATGTCTTTGAGATATTTTGAAAGTGTCATGGGACTTAATAGTTGAAAATTACTGGGATTCACAGTTACAGAAGATTATATGATTGCAAAATTGATGGGTCTCTAATGTTCAGTTTTATAAATGATTCTAAAAAATGTTAGTAACTGTATAATTCCTCTTGAATAGCTAATATGATGTTTCTGATATACTTCCTAATTGATGTGTTTATTTGGTATCTGAAACTGGAAAACTGGAGGAAAAATCCAAATTATTATAGAGGCAAGAGACTTTCTTCTCAAAATGCATGTAGCTATCGCTGACAGCTTCATGTTTACTGGGTTAGCATTTTCTATTGATTATGAGCACTGAGCACCAGCAACTGTAAAGTAAAAAGGTCACAACTCACATTTCTGGCATACTGGGGCATGCACACATGCACACACACATGTGCACACATGCACACCCACAGGAAAATAAAGTGCATTAGATTCAAAACAGGCGTTTGCATTTTTAAATATGTGGTATAAAATAATGCCCTAACCTACTAATTAGGAATTGAATTAAATTCATAGTTATTTTTAGTTTGTTAACTTGCACATTATGAATAAGCACACTTTTTCTTAATGCATTAATAAATAAGACTAGATAGAGAAAGACAAATATATGACTTCACTCGTGAGGAATTTAAGATACAAAACAGACGAACATAAGGGAAGCAAAAATAATATCCTTTTATTACCAAAAATAATTTTAATGCCCCTTAAAAGAGGGAGGGGGACAAAACATAAGAGACTCTTAAATATAGAGAACAAACAGAGGGTTGCTGGAGGGGGTGTGGGAGGGGGGATGGGCTAAATGGGCAAGGGGCATTAAGAAAGACACTTGTTGGGATGAGCACTGGGTGTTGTAGGTAGGGGATGAATTGCTGGAATCTACTGAAATTATTGTTGCACTCTATGTTAGCTAACTTGGATGTAAATTAAAAAATAAATTAATTAATTTAAAAAGAAATAAATAAATAAGACCAGGCAAACTTTTCCAGAGGGCTTCTTCTGGAAGTAGATTCTGCCCTCAGAATCCTACATAAAGGGCAAAAACAGGTTTCAAGGTTACTAATATTTATTTCTATCAGTAGGAACTCTTAATTTTCCTTTATCATACCATGAATGTCAGAGGAAGTGGCTATTAAATGACAAGCTGTATTTGAATGGAGTTTTTACAAGATTCCCTAATGAACTGGCCTATTCTGGTTCAGCAAATCAGCAATTTTAGAAAAAAAGCTATACATAAAGCTTCCAAAGTCGATACTTTTATGTAGCCATGAACTTGTTTTTAAAATTTTCCCCTATATTAGAAAATCATAGCATATGTTTACACTCTAAATAAATTATACAAGATATTCTCAGAAGGTAGAATCAGAACTTAATATTCCATAGAACTTTGTCATACTCAAAATACTTTGTAAATTAATGAGTTATTTGAACTCTAGTAACTCCAGGGTGATTGGAACTATTCATGATGTGCTTAGAAATAGCTGAGACTCAAACTAATAAAACATTTTTAAAGTGCAGTATTACTCAGAACAATAACATTTCCCTGTCATTTCTCTAATGACTTATTAAAACATCCATATCATCAGTCATTTGATAAGAGCAAAATGAATATATGCTTTAAACTGTTACACCAGAAAGCATTTCTCCTAGTTAGGGTATAATCCTCAAGTTTATTATAATAGAATATTTGAAATTAAATTCTGTAAAAATGTTCAGGACTCTGCTGAAAAAATTGTGTTGATATTTAGTTATTTAAATAATTTGTTTTTTATATATCCAGAAGCCTTTCTTCCCCAGGGTATTTTATTAAGTTTCTAGGAAAGCAAGGCTAATTGTGGCACTTGCTGTTGGCACTATTTATCCCACATTGATCCCTTTGTTGACACTGTTACATGTCCTGAGGACCATGACCTTGGCTTCATCACTGTGTTCCTGCATCTCTGACTCCTTCATTTCCCATAACAAATTCTCTATATGCAATTTAGAAATACTTTCTGGATATTCTGGGCCAAAGCTTTCTTTCTTGAGCCCTGAGAAATAACAGGACAGATCTGTCATGGCTGCCTCACACCAAGTTGACCTGGGGAACTCAGGGCCAATTCCTCCCACAAAGAGCCCGTTGAATCTGGGAGTCTTCACAGGGCTTCTATAGTGGCTTCATGCCTCTTAATGGAATAAGAGGAAAACTAGGGAGGTATTTATACCCTGGGGCCCCTAAATTCCCCCATATCTTGGAGCTCCATGATACTCCAGGATGTCAGTGATTCTTACACACTGGTTTCATAGCTTTGGGTAAACACTCAAAGGTAAAACAAATCTTGTCTTTGCTGACATCAAATATTGTTTTCACACCATTCTTTTCAAACATATATCATGCTTCTTCTAGATTCCTTTCCAATTTCATTTTTCCTTTTCTATTTTTAGGGGCTCCTCCCAAAACATTCATTTTTTCAACATTGGTCTTATAATGTCTATAGTCATCTTGTTCTAGACCCATAATTCTGCTTCTAATCTTCCTACATAGTTACAACTGTAACCTCCTTCGCCTCTTTTCCTGAAGGTGAAAAATAACAAGTAGACTCTAATCACCAACTTTCAAGGATGCTCTTCTCCTTTTATCTATACGGTAGCATAAACCTGCTGCAAATGTGGTAGTGACTGTAGGAGGGGAGGCAAGAGCAATCTTTCATTTGAAAATGGCGTTTAGGCTATTGTTTAAAGCCCTCTTCTGTGAGGAGAAGCACTTCTTGTTTTCACCCATTCACCTTGAGAGAAAAATCAAATAAAACAAAGACCTCATGCCCATGATATTCTTCAAACGAATCTTCACATGAACAAAAGAAGATTGAGTGATATTTTTATACAGCGGCGCCTTGGGTGGCTCAGTCAGTTAAACATCCAACTCTTGATTTCAGCTCAGTCATGATCTCAGGGATCATGGGATCAAGACACAAGTGGGGCTGCCCTGATAGCACAGAGCCTGCTTGGGATTCTCTCTCTCCCTCTCTCTCTATCCTCTCCTGCTCTTGTGTGCACATCCTCTCTTTCTTTCAAAAACAAAAACAAAACAAAATAAACTCATGCCCACAGTATTTTTTAAATTTTTAAAAAATCTTTATTTATTTTTGACAGAGAGAGAGAAACAGTGTAGGCGGGGTAGGAACAGAGAGAGGCGGAGACACAGAATCTGAAGCAGGCTCCAGGCTCTGAGCTGCCAGCACAGAGCCTGATGCAGAGTTTGAACTCACCACTAACCAACCACAAGTTCATGACCTGAGCTGAAGTTGGACGCTTAACCGACTGAGCCCCCCAGATGCCCCCACAATATTCTTTAAAACAATCTTTATATGAATAAAAGAATATCGACTGATTTTTTACACAGGCATTTAACTATAAATCTTTTAGTGTTTGCTTTTTAGATTTTTAGAAATCCTTTGAGAGACGTTTTAAAAATAATTTGTCTTCGTGTTGTTGAACGAGAAACTGTAAAAGTTCCTTTCATGTCTGTGAAATACATTTTATGTTTCTGAAATTGCCCTTAAATTGGAAAGTTTCATCCTTAATATTCACTTTTCGTTTACTTTCAAGTGATAATGAAACCAGCGTTTTGTTCAGTCCTGTGGAGATTGTGTCTCAGGGAAAACAACAAAGAATACCATAAATCTTCATGAAATCTATATGGAAAGAAAAAGATGTATATTTTCTCTTCCCTGGAAGTAAAATTTTATTACATATTATTAAAGGATATCTAACTTTATATAAGAATTCTGATGGAATTGGATTATGTTCCTAGAGGGTAACTAACCTTAGCTTTAGGAGACTATACAATCAAAAGGTGTAATATTAAATCCATTATGGTTTCCAAAGACATTCACTGCAAATTTAAACACTAAAGATACTGTGACAAATATTATATATTTGTTGTCATTGTGCTTTGGTGTTTTCACAAGAAAGACTTTTTTGATTGGAGTTCTTCTTGTGGTGGCTATTCTTAGGGTACTGCCCATATGATTAATAAAAAGCAATATATTTCTCACTATGTCTGTCCTGAAGTAGAGTCACTTCAGAATCTCTTCCAAAAACCTGCCCTTGATATTTGACAAGCCAAAAACAATTATTATTTCTTTTCTGGCTTGTGTACAGGTCAAACAGAATATTGTGAAAAGATGCTTGTCACAAATTGTTTTCTGTTTACAAATGACAAAAGCAAGAAATAATTTTATTGTCAGAGCCTAAACTCTGAAATCATATTTTAGCACAACAGCATGCCATTCAGAATGAGGAAACAGGCAGGCACATTTAGAAATACATCAAGAAGCATCTCCCCTCCCCCTGAGGAGAATTCCATCTTTCAACAGAATTGAACCGCTTTGAAAATTCATGGAATGACATATAGATCAAGGTTAAATGAATAGAAGTATGAGGAGAAAATTGATGTGTTTCTTAGAGAGGACCGTTGGGTGATGTCAAAATAATGACAAGAAACCTCTACCCATAATCAAGCCAAATAGTATTAAAGCACTCTCTTGACATATGAGTTTTGAGCACATTATGCAACTAAAATAAAACCCCTGAAATCTCAAGGTCATTTAAGATAATGACTTTTGTGTTGTATGATAAGATACATTTCCCTAATGGCACTATACAAATAAATTCGTATATAATTTAGCCTTCATGTATAAAATGTGAATCATTACATATAATTGAAAAGAGGGGAAAATTATTCACAGAATTATTATTGAGGGAGTGAAGATGAAATCATCATTTTTTTCACCATACAACAATGCACTTCAGGAATGAGTGGTTAATGTTCTTGAAATGATAAATTTGAGATACCCATTATCTTATGCCATGTGTGTAGAATATCATGTCACATCTATCTATGCAGAATATAGAACTTATTGTGTTTCCATGTCTAACTTAAAGTGATAATGTAGGATGACATTTTTCAAGAAGTATAATTAACTCACTGTTCAATGATTTGGAAAAAAAGACCTCCTTTTAATAATTTCTACACAATTGATCTTAAAGATGTTTACCATGTATCCCATATGATCTTCACACACGTATGGTTATTGGTAGAGTTCCATTAAGAAAATTATTTTTTATACAAATTAAGATTCTTTATACTTGTACACATACCATAATACCTACAGAATTAAATACAGCAGATTGAACATTCAAAGTAGAAGGTCATAGGCTTACTGTGATTAGCTTAAAAACTATAATTTTATAAACTTCATAAAATAAATGTTAAACTAGTCATGAAAACTGAGAAATTTCCCTTGGGAAATCTGTTTGAGCCCCTAGTCATGACCATGACCTTTAAAGTGACACCATCGCTTGTATCTAAGAGACTTCTGGTGTCTCATGTAATTCAACTTTCCTTAGCTCCACACATCTACAGATCAATGTTGTATTTCATAATAATCCCTTAGGCACAATAATCTTAAATATTTGAAATTTTTTGCATAAATAAAACTCAAAATTTCAAATCTTACTTCTCTTGTATAGAATAACCAACAACCTGAATGCCCAGGGTAATTAGCCAACAAGAAGCCCACAGTGAAGGTAACAAAAACAAATCCCACAATGCCAGGCATTGTGCTAGACAATGAGAATGAAAGAAATGTTTCTTCCCTCAGAGAGTTGTAGTCAGGTGAAAGACAAACGAATAAACAATTCAAGTGCATTTTTTTAAAGTGTATGTACTTATGTATTTATTTATTTTTTGAAAGAGAGAGAGAGAGAAAAAGCATGAATGGGGGGAGGAGCAGAGAGAGAAGGAGACACAGGGTCTGAAGCAGGCTCCAGGCCTGTGCTGAGCTGCCAGCACAGAGTCTGATGTGGAACTTGAACCCACAAACCATGAGATCATGACCTGAGCCAAAGTTGGACACTTAACCAACTGAGCCACCCAGCCACCCCTTCAAGTGTATTTTAACCAAGCTATGCTAAGAGGGAAGGATGAGGTGCTGAGGAAGCCACAAAGGGGGGGAACATAATTCAGTTTAGGATGTTGTAGGGTATTTTAAGGAAAACTTCTTAAAGGAAGTGATGCCTAAATGTATTGAGTCTCTTCTCTGATGTCCTATGTCTTGAAATCCTACAGCAAATATACTCCTCTTTATCTTAATGTAATCCTTCTGATACTACAGCATGGCTCTCTGTCCATTGTAAACACATTTTCTATCTTATACCTAAGAAATACCCTACTCACCTAAAGTCTCTTGTAATCTGCATTCTCCAGTAAAGTACCTACCAGCCAAATCTGGCTCTTTTATGTTAAATCTGAATTGATTTAAATTTTAAATGCTGAATTAAATATAGGGAAATGAAATTAGAAATTCAGCTCCTCAGCTGTGGTAGCTACATTTCAAGACTCAATACCACATGTGGGTTACTGGACAGGATGGAAAATATTTCCACCATCACAGACATTTTTATTAGGCTGCTCTGCTTTAGGTAGCACCTTTCTAACCTTGGGCATACTTTCCAGGAATCGAACCTTCTGCTCAATCCCAAATTGGTTTATTGAAATAATATGCCAGTAAAATTTCTTAATCCTATCTTTGGTACTTATTTTATTCCTCCCCACCCTCACCAGCCATCTTGTTTTTGTGCTTTTAGCAATGAAATGTCAAGATTCAAAGACTTAGGGAAGAATCAGTCATCATGCAATTAATCAGTTAGGTATCCTCCCTCAGTGTCATTGAGCAAAAAGGCCAAAGACTGGGTGCTCCAACTATATGAAAATGCCAGGATGCTACCACACCCTTTACCAGTACATAGGCACACAGAAGATCCAGCCAGTGCTCTTTACAGTGCCCTGGTTGCTTCTTCTCACTGCTTTCTCAACTACTCAAGAGAAATTGCTCACATCTCTAAAGCTTTTAAGAAAACTACATCTTTACCTTGTTGAACTGATGATGTGCTAAGAGATACGTTAGAATTCATTTGTACCCACTGAGTCCTTTCTGAACCCCATCTTGTCTTTGCAGATTATGGTAGGGGAAGGAATTCTCTACTGTTGCCTGTCCAAAAGAAGAAATGGTGTTGGACTGGAGCCCAACATTAATGCCGGAGGCTGCAACTTCAACTCCTTCCTTAGAAGAGCCGTCAGATTCGTTGGTAAGTGTGGGGAGCCACAAAGAAAGGAAGCGTTTTTTTCAAATAGAAATGTTATATTTAATTACAGATATTAAGTCTTTAAAGCTATAATTTAGATGTATAATTCTGGGTACATGATGAGTTTTACATTATACAAATATCTGTTAAAACACTAAGATTTGGGCTTTGTATCTGTAATCTGTTATTTACAGTTATAGTGCTTGTTTTGAGAGCTAACATGCCATGCATTTCAGTATATTTTTGTTTTAGCCGTGGCTGAAGCATAAATTTATTTTAAAATGGTTTCTCTAGATCTGTGTTCATTTTTTAAAGTGGAGAATAAATGTCAGCAGGCCATTATGAATAGATAACTCTTCAGAAATTAGTTTAGCCACATCAGTGATTCCATTTTAATTCTCCTGGAGCGTTTTCGTAGAGAAGTTACTGCACATGGAAATGTCACCAGAGAGAGAGCTGAATCATGGCTATTTATCCTTGGTTATATCCTCTAACTTTGCCTCCCATTTAAAAAAAAATTAATGTTTTTTAAAATTTATTTCTGAGAGAGAGAGAGAGACAGCGTGAGCAGGGGAGGGCCAGAGAGAGAGAGGGAGACACAGAATCTGAAGCAGTCTCCAGACTCTGAGCTGGCTGTCAGCACAGAGCCTGACACGGGGCTCGAACCCACGAACGGTAAGATCATGACCTGAGCTGAAGTTGGACACTCAACCGACTGAGCCACCCAGGTGCCCCTGCCTCCCAGTTTTAATAAGACCTATAGAAAATCAGCATCTGAATCTAACCGGTATCTAAACCGTCATCTTGGGGCGCCTGGGTGACTCAGTCGGTTAAGTGTCCGACTTCGGCTCAGGTCATGATCTCACTTTTCGTGGGTTCTAGCCCCTTGTCAGGCTCTGTGCTGACAGCTAGCTCAGAGCCTGGAGCCTGCTTCAGATTCTGTGTCTCCCTCTCTCTCTGACCCTCCTCTGCTCACGCTCTCTCTCTCTCTCTCTCTCTCAGAAGTAAATAAAACATTAAAAAAAAATTTAAACCTACATCTTTTCTGATAAGCATGGAACTATCTTAATGTTTGAGTCACGGGCCTTTTTATTCTGCAATAGGTCAGTAAAAAATTTACCCGCGCAGCTCAAAAGAATAGGTCATTTGATTTAGTACCTAGAAGATAATTAAGTACAACCTTCTTCCCTACTAGAGGAAAAGTCCAGTCTAAGTCATGCCCTAGACTTGCTCCACTAAGCAAGGCACTTGGAGATGGTAAGACAAAAAAAGGCACCTTAGCAGGGTCACAAACTGAAGCAAGGATAGAAATCTTCAGGACACATAGCTGGTCTGAGAGAAAAAAAAATTGTAATGTCACAAAATTCTGTGGACAAAGGGGCATATGACCTCTGTGAAAAGCCACATGCCTGTAAGATGGTCCATCCTTCCCTCGAGAACAGTGTTCCAGAGTCCGCAACCCCATCCTCGGTGGGTCACGAGATTTTCATTCTCCAAAGGTAGAAACGGATGGACTTCCCCACTGAAACACACTCCTAGGACCTTGCATACTGCTGGGAATTCGAATGTAGAAATGAAGGTCCTGTGTCGTGAATCCCAGACGAGTGGGTAGAGAAAAACTGGGAGAGTAGTTGCTAGGTGGGGAGAAGCACCTTGTTTGGGGAAAACAAGGTAACATGCAGGCCAGCAACCGAGGTCTGGAGGGGTCTATTGATGAATTGCCCAGCTGCCTCTTACAATGATTTCTATGAGAAAAATCCCGAATCAGAATCCAGGCTGTCAATTCGGAAGGAATCTAAGGTGTCAAGACCACGTAGTGGAAGCAGGTGAGTTCAGGTAATGTGTATGTGAGCAGAGCTTGACTCCCAGGTAAGGGACTTGCAGCAGGAATGGAGTTTGAGCGGACAAGCCTGCATCAGAATTTGCGAGTTTAGACTGGCCACAGGACACACAAGAAAGATGGGATTTGGATGGGAGCTAGAAGAACATCATCTCTGAATTCCAGACACGCAGGAAGGCTTGCACAGCCCTGTACCCAGGAGATGACTGTTTCTGCGACAGGGCCCACCTGCCCTCTTCTCTGTTTTTATTAGCATTCCTGGTATGACTACCGCTTGTACGGAGTTGGAACCGGTTCTGTAGGGTTTAGGGAATACTGGAGAGAGCAAGCCCTGGAAGTTGAAATGTTAAGCAATTTTAAGTTATTTTGAATTGTGCTTCATTCCCTGTATTTGATTCTTCTCAAATCACACAGTTGGCCGCCTTAATATGTCCTGGGTGTCTTATAAGAGACCAATGGCAATGATATTAAGAATAGGTCCTATATAACCCAAATGGCAAAAAATACATCAAATGACTACCTTAGAGATCCTCGTTGCCCTTCTTTTAGAGCAGGTACCTGGTTTAAAGGGTCAGGAATTTTCTATATTGTTTTCTCCAAATTAACCCAGAGAAAATGATCACAACAGATTTGAAGGTTGCCACACTAACATGTAATAAACATGGTTGACAGTGGCACAATATCAGCATTAGGCACTAACCTGGTAACAATTTCTTTCCCTTTGCTTGTAGGCGTTCATGTGTTTGGACTGTGCTCTACAGCTCTCATTACAGATATCATACAGCTCTCCACAGGCTATCAGGCACCATACTTTCTGACCGTGTGCAAGCCAAACTACACCTCTCTGAATGTGTCTTGCAAAGAAAATTCCTACATTGTAGAAGATATTTGCTCAGGATCTGATCTTACAGTGATCAACAGTGGCAGGTTAGAAACTGAGACTTTAAAACTTTCCACATCAGTGTTTTCATTGTTCATTAAAAGCATGGGATATCATTTTAGGCACACATTTTTCATTCATAATGACTTTGGTTTTATTTTTCTTTTCAACTCTGTGTTTTCGTTAGTGGTTTTTTTTTTTAAATATTTTTTTATTTATTTCTAGGAGACAGAGAGAGAGACAGCGTGAGCAGGGGAGGGTCAGAGAGAGAGGGAGTCACAGACTGAAACAGGCTCCAGGCTCTGAGCTGGCAGTCAGCACAGAGCCCGACGCTGGGCTCGAACCCACGAACCGCGAGATCATGACCTAAGTGAAAGTCGGACGCTTAACCGACTAAGCCACCCAGGCGCCCCATTAGTTAGTGGTTATACCATAGAAAACCCATTGGTGGCTCATTCCAAATCCTCCGTCTCCAAATTTCAGCCTCACATTCCTGCCACTAATCTTCATATCACCAAATTCTACTCACATTTTGTGACCTACCCATTACTCATTATGGTTTTAAGTTATCACAGTTGGTTTATTTTAGGATATTATAGTTAGTTGTGACTTACAGTCAATACATGTTCCGTACTGACGTATGTGGAAGACTAAATATCTATATTTACATCTCTATTATATATTTTGTTTTTTAAAAATTATATGAATTTTCCTTTTCGTAGAGTTTTATACATACACCTTCTCTGAATAAATTCAAAAGATCAACATAGCTTCTTGCCTTGCATTTTAGAAAATAAAAGACAGGAAAATTCAAGAAAATACCAATGCATTAAGTTTTTTTCAGTGAATAAAGCAAAAATTAAGCTTTTTGGCAAGAGATAATGTTTTGCAAGTTCAAAAGAAATAAGTTGCAGAAGGACAAAGGGCAATAGTGATTGTTCAAAGAATTGCATGTCATTCAGATCAATTTAAGAGTCAAAAATAAGCTAATAAGTACTCTTGAAGAAACACAGCCTGATATTATGTAATTATACACATTCAAGTACTCATGGCCCATTCAATAATTTTGAAGCTACATTTAGGACCTGTGTCTTCTATTCTTTCTCAATCCTTTTTTACGTATCTTGTCTGTGTTAAATGGTAATCCTTTTTATTGGGTACCAAATAATTAGGAGGACATCAATATCATGGAATTTTATCTTTAAATTATTTTATCCCTTAAAAGAAATGTCCACTTTTCCTTCGCCTGTCGTTTTCAGTGTTTCTCTAATATCTTGAGTTCCACTTCTCTCACCGTGCTTCTTACATTTAACTAGATGCTTAGTGATTCTTGAGATGATAATTACTTTAAAGTGGAATATACAGGGAAACATTTTGTTAAAATTGGACTTCGTGTTTTTGAGAGTATAAAAGATGCATTTATACTCATTGCTGTGAGAAAATAATTTTGCCTTTTAAAGCTTTATGTAAATGAAACCATATATTTAGAAGCATGAAAAAAGTTTAAAAGCTTTAAGAAATCTAGGTTTTATGGACCTTTACTTTAAACTGACATAATTCTAATACCAAAGCATAATAATAATGTTTTTCTATCCATTTCTACTCTCGACCTTCATTCCCATGGTGTAACAAAGTGTCGCCTCCAAAGCTGACACTTGATATGAAAGCACAGTACTATTATTTTTTCATTCTAATGGTAATCAGCAGTGTTTATCACTCAGATCTTTCTCCAGAAAACCAAACAGAAATTAAAGTTATCACCTATTGCCTTGAAGCTTTTAAGTTAAATGTTTTAACCACCCAGTGTTCTTGAGATGATTGTTAGCAGTGGATCTGAAATAGACCTAATCTGACTGTCTTCCTTTGGCAGAAAATCGTTCCCTTCTCAACATGCGACCCTCGCTGCTTTTGCTGCTGTGTACATTTCGGTAAGTCACTGACTCTTTTTCATCATCTATGTCCTAGAGAAAATTAGAGAAATGAGTGCTGTCTCCAAGAGACTAATTAGGTTATATAGCCATGTGATAACAGAACAGTAAACTTCACCACAGCGGTCCTGCAAGACGATTGCATCATGAGCAGAAACTGGGTGAACTTTCCTACAGAGTCATGATATTTATTCAGCCCAGTATTCCTTCAATGTAATATTATACCTCATGGCAGGGTATTATGAACGACATGAATGTTATAAATTCTGAAACTGAAAGAATTGTGTTAAGCACAACACACACACACACACACACACATACACACACACACACACACATGCTTTACTTTCAGTATGTAACAGTTCAAAGTCAGTGTAAATTTGATAAACTATATACAATGAATCATCATCCTATCTAATTAGTACAATAATCCATTATGTCTTATGTGAGAAAAGTAGACTGAAATTATGTGACAAGTAACATGGAAACTAAACAGTTATCTGGCTCATTCTACAGCTTCAATTTATTTTTCAAATTTCCATGTAATTAAATGAGATCTTTTTTTTTTTAAATGTTTTTTATTTATTTCTAGGAGAGAGACAGCATGAGCAGGGGAGGGTCAGAGAGAGAGGGAGATACAGACTCTGAAACAGGCTCCAGGCTCCAAGCTGTCAGTCAGCATAGAGCCCAATGCGGGGCTCGAACCGACGAACCGCGAGATCATGACCTGAGTGAAAGCCGGACGCTCAACCGACTAAGCCACCCGGGCGCCCCTGAGATCTTTTTTTTTTACTTGATGAATTTGCTATGTATTTCTTTTTCTTCAGGTATAGAACATAACCATAACAGGGCAAATAGAACAGTAAAGTTGATGTTGAGTGTACCACTTAGGTTTCAAGTTTAACTTTTTATTTGATTATAATTTAATAGTAAAAACGATCTTTTTAACATACTTAACATATCTCTTTCATTTTTAAGATGTACTTCAATTCGACATTAACGGATTCCTCTAAGCTTCTGAAACCTCTCTTGGTCTTCACGTTTATCATCTGTGGGATCATCTGTGGGCTAACACGAATAACTCAGTATAAGAATCACCCAGTTGATGTCTATTGTGGCTTTTTAATAGGAGGAGGAATTGCTCTGTACTTGGTAAATAATTTATTATTCTTATTTGATAAACCACAGTTTAAGTGGAAAACTTGCATTGAACATTTTGCACTGTAATAATTTACTTGCAATATAGTTTATATTCATGAGAAAATATCTGGGTTCATCTCCATGCTAAGCCAAAACACATATCTTACTTTAATTTTTAATTTTTATAACATTTATTCATTTTTGAGAGACAGAGATAGGGCATGAAGAGGGGAGAGGCAGAGAGAGGGAGACACAGAATCTGAAGCAGGTTCCAGGCTCTGAGCTGTTAGCACAGAGCCCAACATGGGGCTTGAATGCACAAACCACATGATCATGACCTAAGCCGAAGTCAGGTGCTTAACCAATTGAGCCACGCATGTGCCTGATATGCTACTTTTAGCAAAATAATTTTTTAAACTTTTATCATGGACCAGAAACTCCAATTTTAGGATTATTGCATTTTATCGTCATACACACACACACACCCCAAAAAGAATCAAGGATTATTTTTGCTAGTATAATTTTATAGATGAGGAAAGGAAAGTAAATATTAGTGAAAGTAAGTTTCATGATGGTGAAAGTTTAGTGGAAGTTTATATAAGTTGCCCAACAACACAAATGTAGCACCTGGATATATCAGCACCAGTTAATACTGAATTTTTTAGCAGTATTCTATTTTCAAGCCTGATCTTCCTTCAGAGGAAATATTCTCAGCATAAGGAAACTGAGATTGTCAATTTCATGCATTCATTCCTTTACTCATTCATTTTACATTTATTCAATATCTGATCTGTGCTAGCTACTATACTGAGCATCAGAATAGTGAGAAATAAGATATAATCTTAAGAAGTTTTCAGTGTAAAGACCAATAAAAATACAGATGATTACAATATGTTAGATGATATAATACGGTGTGAACAAAATGCTTTGGGAATAGCAGACTGAAGAAGGAAGTTAGGGAAGTCTTCATAGAAGTGATGTGGTTTTTAAGAAATAAGAAATTTTTTTCTTAGTGTAAGAAATGGAGGAAGGACTTCCAAGCAGAAGAAACTAAAAGATGGATGCATGAAAGAGCAAGTATAAATGGAAGGTTAGGAACAGGAAGTATGAGAGATAATGGCCAGTGTCTAGCTTGGAAGACTGGACAGATGGCGACTTCATGAGCAGGTCAGGTAAACAATGGAGGGAGCAGGTTGGTGGAAGCAGCTCAATTTAAGGATCGACAGGCAGTTGAAGAGTTGGGTCTGGAGCTCAAAAGAGCAATCAGTAGTGGAGAAATAGACTTGGAAGTCATGGACATTATTGAGGAAGCACGATGATAGTTCCGGGGATATATACAATTGCCAGGTCATTAAGAATAAAAGGAAGCCAGGTGACACCAACATGCAAGCAGCATGGAGAGGAAGAGGCAATAACCAAGGAAACTGAGAGAGGCTGGCAGAAAAATGAGAATCCTCTATAGCAGCAGTTCAATCATGTCATCTTGATGCATGTGTGGAAGGTGTTACAAGAAAGTGATTACAAAAAAACAGTAAAAGCGCTGAGGCAAACAATGATTTGTTTTTCATTTTTATAAACTAGCAGGGTCAGGACTGTTACTCCAAATCTCACGCTTACTCATGTGCTTCCTTCCATGGCGGAGAAAGTGATCCAAGTAAAGTTAGTATTCCAGGAACTGGGCATAAGGTTGGGTTTCTTATGCAAGTGTTGATTGGTGATGTGTTACAGAATAAGCAAAGAAGACTGAGAACTGAGTCTCCACAGTTCATGAATTGCCTTCACATGTGTGTGATTTCATGGTGTCCTGGAATTAGCATGGTCTCCATAAACTGAAGAATTTGGGCTTGAATCTCAAATATCCCTGACATTTAGCCAAGTTACATAGTCTCTAAGAAGTCTGTTTTTTCACCTATGAAATGAGAATAATAACTACCTACTTCATGTCATAACGAGGATGAAGCAACTATATTTATTAAGCACAGTGCTGGGCACTGAATGTTGAACAATATGGGTAGAGGTTACTTAAAGTCTAGTGGATGATTTTCCTAAACTTACAACAATTATTACAATTAATGAATACAATTATTAATGGAACATTAGGTAGGGACTGCTCATTCTAGGAAAACTGGCAGTGAGAGCATAGACAGATATTATTTAGAAGAAAATTTGAACTGGGAATTAAAGTGGTTGGAGAGGCAAAAGCTTGACATTACTTAATTTTTGTTTGCACCCTATGCCCTGAGATTGGAAATCCGTCAATTCTGAACCAATGCTGTTTTAAATTGTTAAGCATTCTATAAAATGTTAAACCCACAGGATTATTTTGGTTTGATTTGAAAAGTAGACAGTGGCTACCATTTATGGAAATTAACAACCAAGTAGGTATCTGTTGCTTACTCTTACCTCCAAACTAAGCATCTCGGAAACTGAAAATCCAACAGGGATTTGGTCTTCTATGTGTAAAAAGAGTAAAAATTCTGAATCTGAATTTTTTCTTTATCCAAATTTGTATCTCCCAAACCTAAAATAATAAAAAATTGGTAGGTTAAGTATGAAAACAAGATTAAATAAAATTTAGCTCAAATTTAGTGTCCTAGCACTGAATTGATCAAATATACACTTCCACACTTAAGACCAAGTTAAAGGAAAGAATGTGGGTGCTCCAGACTAATGACAACTTCTGCCCTGTCTTCTGAGAATATTCTGTACCACACTGAACACACAGGGCTGTGCTTGATCCGAGTCATAACAACATTTGTCTCTGACCTCACTGTAAAACCAGATAGCATATTTTATGAATGATTTGTTGTTTGATATGTTTCACACCTCTCCTGCTTTCCCATCATAAGGTGTGATTGAAAATGGAAGGTAAAATAAATCAGTTAAGCTATCCCGGGTGTCCAGAGGTTCCTAAATCCAGAAAAATGAATTGCTCTGAAAAGAATGTCCTATTTCTCTCATTGTTGTCTTTTTCTTCCCCTCAAAATGTACAGAAGATAGATAAGATTCACAAAAACATCCAGTGAGATGGAGAAAGGAGAGGAAATTCAACTAATAAAAAATAATGGGCTCCTTATTTCTGAGGAGCCAGTTTAGCAATTTATGACATAACTCACAAATTATTTCCTGAGCAATTGTAGTTTTGGTTTTTTATTATTTGTGTTAGCTAATGGTGTATAGAGAGCACATACCTTGTTTATATGCGTCAGTAGGTCCTCTAAGACAAATTCTTAGTAACCATGTCTTCTAGTGCATGACGTTCTTATTTCTCTCCAATGCCAGGGCTTGTATGCTGTGGGGAATTTTCTCCCTAGCGAAGAGAGTATGTTTCAGCACAGAGAAGCCCTCAGATCTCTGACAGACCTCAACCAAGATCCCAGCAGAGTATTATCTGCTAAAAATGGTAGCAGCAGTGATGGAATTGCTCACACGGAAGGCATCCTCAACCGAAACCACAGAGATCCCAGCTCCCTGACAAACCTCAAAAGGGCAAACGCTGATGTAGAGATCATCACTCCACGGAGTCCCATGGGGAAGGAGAACATGGTTACCTTTAGCAATACCCTGCCTAGAGCCAACACCCCATCTGTAGAAGACCCTGTCAGAAGAAATGCCACCATTCATGCCTCTATGGATTCTGCTCGTTCAAAACAGCTTCTTACCCAGTGGAAGAATAAGAATGAAAGCCGGAAGTTGTCCTTGCAAGTTATAGAGTCTGAGCCTGGACAGTCACCACCCAGATCCATAGAAATGAGGTCAAGCTCAGAGCCCTCCAGAGTAGGGGTGAATGGAGACCACCATCCTCCCAGCAATCAGTACCTCAAGATCCAGCCTGGCACTGTCCCCGGGTGTAACAATAGCATGCCTGGAGGACCACGAGTGTCCATCCAGTCCCGCCCTGGGTCCTCGCAGTTAGTGCACATCCCCGAGGAGACACAGGAAAACATAAGCACCTCTCCCAAAAGCAGCTCTGCTCGGGCCAAGTGGTTGAAAGCTGCAGAGAAGACCGTGGCCTGTAACAGAAGCAATAGCCAGCCCCGAATAATGCAAGTAATAGCAATGTCCAAGCAGCAGGGTGTCCTCCAAAGCAGCCCCAAGAACACGGAAGGCAGCACTGTCTCCTGCACTGGCTCCATCCGCTACAAAACCTTAACAGACCACGAACCCAGTGGGATCGTAAGAGTTGAGGCTCACCCCGAGAACAACAGGCCCATCATACAGATCCCATCCACCGAAGGCGAAGGTAGTGGCTCCTGGAAATGGAAAGCCCCTGAAAAGGGCAGCCTTCGCCAAACTTATGAGCTCAACGATCTCAACAGGGACTCAGAAAGCTGTGAGTCCCTGAAAGACAGTTTTGGTTCCGGAGACCGCAAGAGAAGCAACATCGATAACAATGAGCATCACCACCATGGAATCACCACTATCCGTGTCACCCCAGTAGAGGGCAGCGAAATTGGTTCAGAGACGTTGTCTGTTTCTTCCTCCCGCGACTCTACCCTGCGGAGAAAGGGCAACATCATCTTAATACCTGAACGAAGTAACAGCCCCGAGAACACTAGAAATATCTTCTACAAGGGAACCTCCCCAACACGGGCTTATAAGGATTGAGTGGTGGGATTCAGTCACGTGAGCGATCCCCTCCCTCCCCCCTAAGGACCACGTGTTGATTCTCCCTGTGCTCTGTTTCAGCGGATTGGGAAGCCTTCTCTTCATTTTGGGTCATTTTACCATCAGCTCCGAACTCAATGACTTTTGAGAACTACTAAATGCAAGCTTGTAGATTTCACATCAAGGGGAGGGGCAAAGCACAAAGCAAGAACCTAATTAATATGATAATGTGAAGAATCTGAAGACCTATCTTCAAACTTAAAAGGTTTGCAGAAGGCAGTATCAGAAGTGGTTTCCTTCAGTGTATACTATTTTACTTCCTGAATGTGCCAACTTTAGGGATTTTTCTTTATAATTAGCTGTGGGAATCCAGAACACGTTTCCCTACAGCAGAGGCCATGCAGTATTATATATTCATTTTGCAGAATCTGCGCCTACAGCCCAGTAAGGGTGGTGCTGATTATATAGTACACATACCATGTAAACTCTCAAATTCTATTTAGCTGTGAAATAGTGGTGTGCAATTCCTTGTCAAAGAAATGCTTCTGTATTAAGAAGATGCTGGCTGCTTTGTGTTAGAATAGGACACCCCGCAGCTTCTCTGTAGTGTCACCGTCAAAAAATGAAAAGGTTTTGTGCATTTCCTCATTTTTCTGCTTTCTTCAACAACAAAAAATGTGTAGGAATATTTTCAGTGAAAGGGAATAACTAGTACTTTTCTACATAGTTGTTTTTTTGCTACTTACTTTTTATTTAAGTGTAGGTACCAGCAATGATTCTTTTTTTTAGTGAGTCAACTTGCATAATTTAAGAAATACATTGTTTTAGAGTTTTTTGAAATTGTTGTGATCATATTTTGCATTTTATGGCTCCTCCTTTATTTATTGTTTTTTTGATATCATAGATATGTTTTTCTATTTTTAAAAGCAAGAATAACAGTTGACATTCCTTAAGCAAAATATACTGCTGTGAATTTATAAATAAGAAATCTGAACCAACACTTGACATTGTGAATTACATTGCCAGCAGTGTCGGTTGAATCTGGATGTATCCAACCAGCTGGCTTAGGTTGCTATCTTAATTAGTAATCCAAAAACTTAATTTTGTTCCAGATTAGTAATTTTTTATAATCTAATAACCAGTAAATTAGAGCAACAGTAGCTGGGTTTTACCTTCTTCCCTGAGATATTTTTGTTAATTGGACATCAACAGGCAGAATCTGAAAAAAAAAAAAAAGCAAATTGATAAGTGAAAGTATCTCACAATATAAATTCAGAATGTATTTCTTCAAAATATCTAAATAGACACAGGTTTTGTGCTTAATATGCAAACAACAGTTTTGCTACCTATCCTGAATAAAGCCTTCGGCCTAAATCAAAGGAAAACAAATATTATCAATAAGAAGAAGATAAAACCAAAACATTCGGAGGTGTTTTCCAACTTAAAAATTTAAGCGTGGAGAAATATTTGGTTCTTGGTATTTAGTATCACATCTTTTTTACACCATTTCTTAAGAATTCTAATATACACTTGACGATTGCCAAGGGGATAAAAGGTAACAACGAAGCTGGTTGATCTGATCTGTTTGCAACAAGAACAGAAGCGGTTGTTAGGAGATAAAAGAGACCGCATCATTATCAACTTCTACAGGAAAAGGGCAAAGCTTCTAGACTTGACCAACCTCCTAAGAGCATTAGGGATTTAGCTGAAACCAGCAGAATTGAAAACTCTGGCAATAAAATATGATTCAACTATATCCCTTCTGGCAATTTCCTTCTCAGAGAGGGGAGTGGGAGTAAAACGTTGCCTTCCCCACTTCTCGCCACCGCCACCATCACGGCACTCCTACTGGCGTTTGCCATTTCATAGAGAGAAAGGTGGACTGGTTTTAGTACTCTGAAGAAAAAAAATCCTAAATCTGCAGCATTTAAGGTGCAGTATGATATTTCCTAATCTTTCCTATTTCTTAACAAAAGATTTTAAAGTACTTCTCTAGTCATTGAAGGTTTTTTTTTCTTTACATAAATATTGATATATTCTTTTTCTACTCAAAGTGCCAAAGGCTACAGTTTTTAATGACTGAACAAATTGTACCACATTGTTAAGGAAATATAATGATAGTCGCTAGAACTCAGACCTCTGCATGTATATTTGATAATACATCTTTTGTAAAAAAAATTACAAAAAAATATTTGTTTACATTCCACTGGTACCTTAATTTAAAATAAATGAGACTAACAGGTGGTATCTCTTCTTAGTGTTCTATTTATCTGATTTGCTAATGAGAGTACTTCTTCCTTTGTTAGGCTGTGCTTTACTGATAAAACCAAGTATTGAATAAAGAGAGTAATTATCTTTTTAAAGTAAATAAAATTATGAAAATATATATAATATATATAAAGTATTGTGTTTAATAAAATGTTATGCAATGTTTTCCAAACTGATAAAGTTTGTAAAGTGCTATAATGTATTTTGTTAAGTACAGATTAAAGCTATTGTGTGAGTATATTGTGCTAACATCATAGAAATAAAGATTAGATTTCTTCATCAAAATTGGAACATTTTGATTTTTTACTTCAGAGACAGTATGAATGGATAATAACTTGGCTTTAGGAAAACATCTAAAGAAATAAGAATGTATCAGAACTGATTATATTCATAATTGTTTAGAAGAAACAGTGTTGACTAACCAAAGTTGATCAAACTATGCCATAATTTCCCCTCATCATTTAGAATTTTTATTTTATGCTTATTAAAGGAGCTCTTTTAGATTTACTTAGGCGTAGATCTTTTACATATCAATATTATAAAGTGTAAAAACAAAAATATGTCAGGGCCAATCGCTCTGAATCCATTTTTGACTAAAAGTACTTGATGTGCCTCTTTTCCCCAATATTATTGCCCCCTGCTTGGCCCTATACGGAGACATGGTTTTGCCATCTGTAAAACATGACTTCCATACTTTCTCCATTTGCCATAATTCCCCAGCAGGAATGGGGTGGGAAGGAGGAATTAAAAGATAAGCAGCTTTAAGAAGAAGACATAGAAGTTTCATATGTCATGTGTGATCTTCCCAAATGGTACAAACTAGATCTCCTTGGCTGGAAGAGAGGCCAGGAATGTAGTATCTAGCTGAGAGGCTCCAGCCCAACTAAAAATTTGTGTCTTCTCTAACTAGATGAAAAAGGATGAGAATGGCTCCTGGGGGTTAACGATCAGTTTCTGTCATACCAGCTTCAAGACTCCTCACAATAGGATCTACAGAACCGTATATATCACTGCTTCTCCATACAAACCTATCTGTTGCATCAGGCCTGGCTTCTTCATTTGTGTGTGTGTTGGGGGGTGGGGGAGGGCGCCGGAGTGTGAGTGTGTGTGTGGTTTAGTTTTAACTCTCTGGAAAGTCTTTGCACCCCTTTTTAAAGCTTCCTTTGTCCTTTCAAGCTAACTGTCAATATTCCTTTATTTTCAGTTTTTCCTTTATTCTAATTTTAGGGCTGGAAGGGACTTGAGATATCACTTACCCTTCTAGGTATAATCACTGTGGTTACTATGTTTCACACATGAGAAATGTAGAATGCACGAGAAGGGCTTTACTCAAAATCACACAAACTGTAGATGGAAGAAGGACACTGAGGTCAGGAAAGAATACCTCCTGCTCCATTTTTTATTTCCTAATGTTTAGTGCATCACCTACCACATAGGTTGGACACTCAATAACATTTGAAATAATGAATGAATGAATTATTTATACTTATAAATGCTTGTTCTGTGTGACCAATGTATTCATTAATCATACAGTTTGTATTATTAATCAATTTGATTGATGAGGCATTGAATATTTACTACACATTAAATTGTAAGCTTTTATAAGCAGCTCCCAGCACAACAGACACTTGATAAATATAAGATTCATTGAATGAGTACAGTATGTTCCATTTACTGTAAGTGAAAAATTATGAAAATGAGTAGATAACAGAATTCATCATGTGAAGGAAAGTATGAGAGGATTTGAAAGAGAAAGAAATGGTGGTCCACTTGATTGTGCCCTGAAATCTTACCGTTCTCAGAAATCACCTCCAAGACTCTGAAGCCAAATAGATGTTATTTATATTTTTCTCCTTTTTCTTATTTGAAGCATCTTTTTCAAATGTTGACATTGTGTAAGCCAGATTTCTTGGAACAAACTGTTTCCTCACAATAGATATGATTTTGTAACAGTTGTTTGTTCAAATGTCTCCCACCTCCACAGAAATGTCGGTGCAGTAAAGTGCCAATAAAGAATACTTACTTCCTCTATCATTTAAGAGAAAGAAAGAAAGAAAGAAAGAAAGAAAGAAAGAAAGAAAGAAAGAAAGAAAGCCCTCTTTGTAGTCAGCATTCTAACTTATTTTTCAAATTCAAAATCAGAGATTAGAGTCCAGGACTTTAGTAATTTCTTTTTTTCGAGCATATCCACTGGTCTCTTATTTCTACCTAATACGCCACTTAGGGTATCACAATTATTTCCAGAATTATGGAGTAATGAGTCTTTGGGTCAGGCTGCAATGTGTTCAGATTCCAGTTCCAACTACTGTGTGCCCTGATTTTCTTGCCTGAATAATAAGGGTGACAGTTTAAAGCTGCTATGGAGCTGAATAAATATATGCAGGCAAATCATCTGCAACACTGTGTGGCAGTATATATGTATTGGTTCCTATTTTGGGGCAATGTTGTGTGACTTCTTTATCTCTAGTCTTCACCCTTCTCTAGAAATCTAGAACCTAGTATACAACTGCCTGCTTGATTGATATCTATACTTAAATATGTATAATTATCTCAAATTTAACATTTTCAAAATAACATTTCCTGATTTCTATTCCCAAATGTATTCTTCCATCTTAGTAAACCAGCAACCCCACTACTGCAAAAGCAGAACATCTAAACTATATACTTAATCCACTCCTTTCCCTTACCACTCACTTCTGAACTAAGTCCTATTGGTGTTCCTCCAAAATGTATCCTGTGACCTCTTTCCCCCATCCTTATTGTCTTTAACCTTGGTTAGACCACCATAGACTCTTCATACTTCTCTCTGGGGTTGAGGCCTCCATTTTTGCTATAGTCCATTCTTCACATGGCAGTTAGAATAAACTTCTTAAAAAACACAAGTCAGATCAGATGCCCTCCTAAACTCCCCAAATGGTTTACAGAAATTCAAGTTCTAGACACATGAGAACTTTAGACATGGGTTTCCAGTCCCTTCATTGACAAAAAGAAGTTTCTTGATGAAGGAACCCCAATCTTCAGTGATGGTACCTGTTAGATAGAGAATGTAGAGAAAAATCAATCTGACTAGAGGACCAACTGAGAAAAGTCTGCTCCTGTCATCTCTACTTCGATGACATTATCCATGACCTCTAAGGATCTCTAGTGACCTTAATTAATCCCAATGAAGACACTTCTAGTATTAATGATGCCCCAAAATAGTTCTTTTATTTATATAGTTGGCAAATGTATATTAATTACATGCAACATGTCTGCCTTCCAGAAACAGATTTTAGAAATGCAGAACACTTGAGTGCAATCCTGGCTGGATCACTCACCAATTCTGTGACCTTGAGCAATATCCCTGCCCTTCCTGAAAAGCAAGCCAGGTTGCTACCTCAGATCCTAACCCACCAGTTGCTGCTCAGCATGTTGTACGGATATGTGCTTCTAGTCTTACAGTGGCCCACCACTGACTTCTCTGCTTGTCACCATCAAGAACTATTCGGCATGG